CGCGGGCCGCCCCCGGGCCCCGCCCCCGCGGGGCGCGAGCCGGGCCCGTCTGTGTGCACGCGGGCTGTGGCCGGCAGCCTGGGCACACGGGGCCGGAGAAAAACCGCGGGGGGGAGTAGTACGCTCGAGCTAGAATCAGTCACGGAGGTGTAATGGTTGATTGAAAAGATTATTTACTTACACCGGAGATGGTCGCGGTGCAGGCTGGACAGTTTCCAGGTACAGCTCCGCTTCAGTCCTCGTTGGAGGACTCTAAAACTCGGTTCCCAGGATCCTCGGAGTGGTTCAGACTCCGTGGTTTCGATAACTGGGTTCCTTCGATCAGTGACGGGGAGAGGCTAGAGGCCGTCGGTGAGTGGTGCCCCGGAGTTTGCTAGGCTCCGGGGGTTCGGCAATTGGAGCCTCTATCGCCTTCTTAAGAAAGACGCGCTGGGTTCGAACGGACCCACAGCGCTTAGAGATCCGTCTCTCCATCTCTCTCTCCGTCTCTCTCTCCAACTTGGGCGGAAACCACCCAAGCCTTTTGTACGGCTAGCAAGCCAATAGCTAGCCGCCACGTGTGCCTAAATTAAGGCCGGCCAATAATGTGGCTCAAATCTTAATACAAATGGCAGGAACTCCTTTGCAACGTGCATCACTATAATGCAAGAGAAATGCACAATGCAAAGAAGGCTACAAAACGGCGGGAAACACTTTTCTGCACGCGGGTTCTCTATAACAAGAGAACACTCCGTCGTGCAAAAGAGCTGCAATTCGGCGGGAACATAATTTAGCGGTGCCGAAGCACACACAATCAAAAAATCCACAACTTTGGGTTGTGACAGGAGGAAGGGGATGGGAAACAGGGGTTGGAAAATCCTAGTTGCAAAAGTTAGAGAGCAAGTATTGCCAGCATAGTGGTAGATCTCAACTCTAGCTAATAAATTTGGATAGTTAATAATTTTCTTAATCGGAAAAGAAGTATCATAAGAAAGTTTCTACTTTTCATAGATTTCATAGACATTAGGGCTGGAAGGGACCTCGGGAGATCAGAGAGTCCAGCCCCCTGCCCCAAGGTCAGGAAGTCATCTGGGGTCAAAGGATCCCAGTAATAGAAGTGTCCAAATGCTTCTTAAAGGAGTCCAGGGTAGGTGCTTGCACCACCTCTGGAGGGAACCTATTCCAGGCCTTGAGGGCTCGGACAGTAAATAAGTTTTTCCTTATGTCCAGCCTAAAACGGTCTTGGAGGAGTTTGTGACCATTCGACCTTGTCATCCCTTGGGCTGGGCTGGTGAACAGGCGTTCCCCCAGATCCTGATGCACCCCCCTTATATACTTATAGGCAGCCACCAGGTCTCCCCTGAGCCTGCACTTTTCCAAGCTGAAGAGTCCCGTAGCTCTCAGCCTCTCATCATAAGGCCTATCCTCCTGCCCTCTGATCATGAGCGTGGCTCTCCTCTGCGCTCTCTCAAGCTTCTCCATATCCTTCCTGAATTGTGTAGCCCAGAACTGAATGCAATACTCCAGCTGCAGCCTCACCTAGGCCAAGTACAGCAGGAGGATGACATTCTGAGGTTTACTTGAGGAGCATCTATGGATGCAAGCCAGAGTTTGGTTTGCTTTACCAGCTGCGACATTGCATTGGTGGCTCATGTTCATCTTGTGGTCAGTCATGACCCCCAAGTCCCTTTCGGCCTTAGTGCTGGCGAGTGTAGCACTGCCTAGCCTAAAAGCATGCTGAGAGGGTTTTCACCCCCCCTCCCCCAAGGTGGAGTACCTTACATTTGTTGGTATTGAAAGTCATCAGGTTTGTATCTGCCCACTTTTTCAACCTATCTACGTCAGCCTGAATCACCAGGCTATCCTCCGGTGTGGATACTCTACCCCAAAGTTTGGTGTCATCGGCAAACTTGGCCAGTCCACTTCTGACACCTGTACCCACGTTGTTGATAAAGACATTGAAGAGAACGGGTCCAAGGACGGAGCCTTGGGGGGACACCACTGGTCACGGAGCACCGTGATGATTTGCTTCCATCAACCACCGCTCTCTGAGTCTGGCCTTTTGCTTTGGTTTAAAGCCAAACCTGTAAAACTCAGGCTATTTTAAAAGGTTGCTTTCCAACCAGAGATAAAAAGATTCATGTAGATTCAAACAAGATTGGACCCACCTATCCCCTTTTTGATGGGATGACAATAATGCCTACAGTAATCTGCCCTTTACCTGTTCAAGTCCCACTTGTTGAATGTGTCACAAACCATTAGTAGAATAGCTTGTGATATTCAGGTGATCCCGCACCTCCCATTTTCAGTTGCCAATAGTGCTAGTGCTAGCCGACTACTTTCAAACATCCCAGCACCAGTCATCATCATCTTGACCTTTTGACTGCATAGCTAACTGGATCTGGCAACACAGAGAATGAAAGAAAAAAGTTCATTTCACAATTCAATGGTATTTGACCATAAAAGAAATTAAAAGGACTCCTGCTGAATTTTATAAACTATATTGTAGACAAAAAAATACAAAATTCAGAGTAAACATGAAAAAGTTATGTTTCAGTAATACAAAAATGTGGATCAAGGCCTTGACATTTCAACAAAACTGCATTATGGCACCAGCTCCATTCTACTGAAGAAGCACACATTGGGTTTATTACAAACATTATGAAATGGCTTGTAAGTGCAATGGTCCTAGCTTATATTCTTGTTCAAAAACAGCTCTCCTTAGTGTGAATTCAATAGAGCTCTACAAAAACAGACCAAACTCATATGGAACTCAAATCTTACAGCAAAATATGTAACTATAAGTAGTCTTATTTGTTCCATTTGTTCAAAATGGCTTTATCCACTTGATAAGCCAGAACTGTGTATTTTGGTTCAGAAACGCTCTTACATTTGCTGTATGCATGACCATACAAACTCACACATTCCTTCTAGTCTTCTGACAAGCTGTATTAAGATGCCTTCCTGAAACCCTTTAGAATAGGATAGATGTTTTCAAATGCCTCATAGATTTCAGAACGTTCTTTAGCACCTATAAAACATTTGGACAAATGTAAATATTTTTAAGAATAAGATTTAGGATAGCACGCACAAGACTGCATTCAGTTACTATTAAGTCACATCCATTGAAATCCAATAAAAATCAGTATCAAGACATCCAACAGCTTATAAAACCACCTCCCTGGGGTGGGGGGGAAACCTCTCAAGGCTTTTTTTTTTTTTAAAGGAGAAACTTGAGCAGCAAGCTTCTTCCTGTGACACCAACATCACCAGAGATTGGAACAAGAATAGGACTGGAAAGAATTTCTCGTTCATTTTTTGCACCATTCTCATTTTGAAAAAGAAAGACTGGTTGGTACTAATCTTTCATTTTGGATTCTTACATGAACATGCTAAAACATATTTACAGATGCAGATGCCTTTAATAGACTACTGGGTGAAAGTCCAAAGGGAAGTCATAACATTTTCTGGCAGTGTTTCTATTGTTGTCTCTTATAAGAGAGAGACAAAGTTTAACTCACTAATTTTTACATCCAAATTTAATCAAATATCCCATTTTTACATTACATGTAGGACTGAAGTATTAGGCAGCAATTAGTGCTCAGCTTTCTTACGAACAATTCATGCAAATTAGGTTTAGAAAGCTGCACAGACTAATTAAGGTAGTTCTGCACTGTTGGTAAGTTAATGGGAAATTACATTTGAAAAAGCAGAGGGGGAGAGGGAATTTTTGCATTCACTCAGAATCTTGAAGACTGATCTGTAATATTTCCCAATTCTAGAACACTTTTCACTCCAACCCATATCAGAACTTTAGGATTTTTCCTCTTGTTTCTACCATCATATATATGAATTCATGTTGCAGTCTTTAACCCAACGACTTTTCCCACATACAACTTTTTTATGGAAAACCACACACTAACCAGCCACAGGTAGCCAAGGACATTCCTCATCAGCTTGGAGGTATAACTAGGAACTATTAGGACTGAATAACTAGCATTTCAGTGAACCTCTAGCCAAACTAAAAGGCATTTAATAGATGTACTTCCGAGCTGGCTCCTTTTTAAAAAGTTTTCCTAGCCAATGAGATACATAACAGCGACCACACTCCCTGGGCCCTGCTCGGGCATTCAGTTGTGATATTCAAGCTACCAGAGAATTCTTCTGGATTAGGGGAAAGGATCATAGGAGCTCAGGAAGTCCTTTTTTCCTATTACAGTAGGGGTCCAGTTTCCAACTAGGGCTTACCTGAGCCCTTATAGGCCTGCTGCATGAGTTTTGTTTTTTTGTTTTTTGGGGTTTTTGTTGTTGTTGTTGGTTTGGGGGGGGGGGTTTGGGGGGGAAGGGTTGTTTTTGCTAATTGTGTCTTCAGAATATTTTGGATTTCATCAGTGGAGTGGAGCTAGCCAGCATGACCTCACAGGACCTACAAAGGAGGGGGTTGGAGGAGAACATATTAACATATTTAAGCTTTTTATCCTGAATACCTCCTTGGTCCAATTCATGTAACTCGTTCATGGATTTGTTAATTTTTTAAGGTCCTTCTAAGGGCAGCTCATTTTTGTTTGTTTCTGAAGCACGTCTGAAGCCCTTTTGTTAAGTTGGACCAGATGACCTCTGAAGGTGCCATCCAGTCCTACCTTTTCATGATTCTGTAAAAGAGGTCTTATATCTGACGGGAATACAATTTAGAGTTTTATTCGATGTACAAAAGGAGAATTTGCCTAACACAGTACGTACTGCAGAATGAATGTTCTGGAGTGCTCATCCAGGAATATTAATATTTACCTACAAGCCTTGAATTCAAGGCTTATCCATCATACGTATTGATTAAACACAGGACTTGCTTAAGGTCAGGTGTACTACAGAACAGAACCGAACCAAGATAAAGACAGATTACATTTTAGTGCACTTCTGCTCCCTCCCACCCAAAGCCACACAAATACTATACTGCATTGCAGTGGTAAAATAGTTTTCTAATCAAGAAGGGGAAGAAACTAATTTCTATGAGAATTTTGCATCTTTTCCAATGTAATGGACTCAGTTATCAAGACAGATCTTAACAGTATGCTGAAAGGTGATACCTTGGTCACAAGTCAGGGATTGCTTTGCTTCAGGAACTCAAGATGCTCGTTGAGTGGAATTTTTTTTGAGAAATTATCTGAACTTCTATGAAGCCTTTTAGTAATGTATTGTCTTATAGCTGTTATTCATATTTCACTAAAAGGATACTCCATGCTTTTTACTGGCAAAAACTGTTTGTGCTATAAGTGTTAGCTTCTAACTAATAGAAGACAAAATTTTTCTTCATACACATGTTACTGCTGTATGAAGGGAGATTACTTACCAGTCAATACAACTTTTCCAGAAACAAAGATAAGCAACACAATCCTTGGTTTGACCATTCTGTAAATAAGCCCAGGAAATAGTTCTGGTTCATAACTGTTAAAGAAAAAGGAAAAATGGGTAGGAACACCACTTTGTTTTATTTTTGCTAGCTGTAATAAAGCCATAAAGTGAATAACTGTCCCCCTCACTGATCCTCCCCTCCGAGGTATAGGCTGGTTAGTACGTTAGTTAGTTAAGCACATTCAGAAGAAGCTGTCTCATCTAGGAGCCAATACATTGAGATACTTGTTTGCTATTTTCATGTCCTGAGAACCTGTACATTTCTACTGGAGACCTGTAAACTTCTGTCCCCACTGGAATTGTGGCTGTTCAGTATCCTAAGAGGCGGGCCACTCAGTTCGAGAGTCTACAGTTACACTCTTGGATTTGTGGGAACTGGCATTGCACTAATATTGGACCAGGATAGACTGAGGCCAGCAAGAGAGGCTGTTAGGCCCCCTCTACACATAGCACTTCAGGCCTGATTAAGCAGTTATTCATGACTTAAATTATTCACCTGGCCACATGTTCAATCAATTAATAGCATGAAAAAAAAGAGGAACAAGGTACAGAGTTATTCCACAAAATGTATAACAACTTCGTAGCCAACTCCTCTCATGCCATTAATTGAACAAGTGGCCAGGGACCACCCTGTGTCTGGGAGCCTTGTCAGCCAATCCAAGCTCCCAGCTGACACGGCTCTCAGCCACGGGGTATCCCTCCCCATGGGATTGGGCTCCAACTGCACTGGCAATAAGGCACGGTGGGCTCTAATGCGCGATCTAACAATCACGCCTCCTGCCATGCATGTGTGGCACAAGTGGGGTATCGTGCATTAGATCCCATTATGCCTTAACCTGCACATGCAGAGGAGCCCTTAGAAACACTTCTTTCAAATATAACAGGTAGAGAAATAGACTAAGAGACTCACAGTATCTAGTCACCAAGGCAAGGTGGTGTCAGGTTATCCAGTGTCATTAAGTGAAGGAGTGATCAGCTTAACACTAGAGACGCATATTCAAACCACTTACAGTGCACAGAAGTCTTCATCCCTTTCCAAACTTCTTATAATCTAGTGACTTACCTTGCATTAATGCATTTTAGCACACCAAGTCTGGTCTCCCAGTGATGAGGGTACACATTCACTTTAAACAATCTAGACAAAATATGGATCATACCATAAGAGGCGTCCAGGCTTCAATTCTGTGTTTTTTACCAATGGGAAGTGCTTTTGTCTAAGTTTTTCTCAGCTACAGTTCGGCTTCCATCAGAGGCATAGCAGGGCTGCTCCAAGCCCACAGCAGTGGCACTAGGGCAGCAATGGCTGCTATGCAGGTAATGGTACAGCCAGCAGCAGCATGTGTGTGCACATGCATGCACGTCCCAGTTAAGTTATTTGCTTCCAGTATCTTCGTGGATACATAATTCCATTGCACCTGATGCTTTAAAGCTTATAGTCCTGGCTGCTGGAGCTGTGACATACGCCAAGCATTAAGTTAACTTATAAAGAGTTTGTTCAACTGAATTATTATTATTTTTTAATTAGAGGAATTATTCCCAATGAAAACTAGAAGTATTTTCCCAAATCCTGATGTTCCACATAACAGCAGATACTGCCAACATGAGATCAATCCATTGTCACCCTAGAAAGTACTGCCCAGATTTCACGAACACCCTGCAGCACATCAGAATTCTCTGTACACAGCATAAATTCAGCAGTATCAGACGTATTCCTTCCGTATGACTGCGTCATCAGTAACTGTTACAAGAAGCAATTGTCTAAAAGCAAGATGAAGGAAATAAGCCATTTATGTTTACAGATTACTTCCTTGTCCTTCATTTTAACCAGAGGTAATGCACATCAGAAAAGCAGGTCAGAGTCCATATAACAATTTGAAATAATAGAAGCAGCCATAAATGTAGGTTAGCACATATTCTCCTTTCAATGAGAGAATTGCAAAGCATAACTTCTCTCCCTAGAGGGAGTCAGGAGAGCAGTTTTGACTAGCCAGCCACCAATGTACTAAGCTACCTGTAGACGAAACAAGTAGTTACTATATCCAGAGTTGTAAATGTATCCACTAACATCAATAGTGGCGCTGTGCAAAACTGCTACAGAAAACCTTTTGACTTTTGTCACGTTATATAAAAAAGAAAAAAATTCAGGAAAGGTTAGTTAACAGCAATTACTTAAAAATATGTACTGCCAAAGTATTGCGGTCTAGTATGTAAGTTGGATTCTAGATGCTCCAAAGATACAGATTGCTGTAGCTAGGTCCTGTACATCAAGGTTATGCTATGACACACCTGACTGGAAAGAAGGCATCAGCACCTCACTAGTATAGTATCCTAATCCCTTGTGTCATTTTAGATGCCAATTCCTTAGGCGCCCCCAGGGGTTACAAGAAATAATGGCCACAAGCTAGCAGAGAGCAGATTTAGACTGGACATTAGGAAGAACTTCTTCACAGTTCGAGTGGCCAAGGTCTGGAACAGGCTCCCAAGGGAGGTGGTGCTCTCCCCTACCCTGGGGGTCTTCAAGAGGAGGTTAGATGAGTATCTAGCTGGGGTCATCTAGACCCAGCACTCTTTCCTGCCTATGCAGGGGGTCGGACTCGATGATCTATTGAGGTCCCTTCCGACCCTAACATCTATGAATCTATGAAAAGTTATTTACAAGTGATATCTCTCTAAACCATGGGAGCAGTACCTCTTCCCAACTATTACTACCTCTCCCTTAAAGTGTAGAATCACTGGGTTGGAAGGGAGCTCATGGATTATCTAGTCCAACTCCCCGCACAAATGTTATCACAACTCTTTTTGAAAATGGCCAATGAAGGAAACTCCACAGCTTTCCTGTGCTGCATGTTCTACTGTCCTGACAGTAAGGAAGTTTTTCTGAGATTTAACCTAAATTTGCTTTGTTGTGAAGAGTTCTTCTCCTGTATTTCTATAAAAGCCTTTCAAATATTTGAAAACTGCCCATACGCTCCCCTCAACTCTAAATATCTCCTTTTCTCCAAATTGAAAGTACTTAGTTCTGTCAATACTGCCTGTATTCCAGTCATCTTCATTGCTTGCCTCTGAGTCCTATCTCATTTCTCTACATCTTTTTTAAATTATAGAGCCCAGAACTGCACACAATAGTTCACTTGAGGCCTAACCAATACAGAGGAGAAGGACATTATCACCTCCTACACATTACGTTCAATATGCTTGCCAAATTGCAGTTGCCTTAAAAAAACAACTGCATCACAGACTTGACATGAGTCACCAATGATTCATTAACCCACCCCAATCCTTCTCAGCAATGCTACTGGTTAGGCAGTTATACTCTCCATTCTGTATGTCTGCATTTGCTTTTTCTTCCCTCAGCATAGCACTCTACATTTGTCTGGAATAAAATTCATTCCTCAGTCTAGTACCCAGTTCCCCAATCAATCAAGAGTTTTTCGATCTCTGATCTTATCTTCTAAAGCATTTGCAAGCCCTCTCAGCTTTGTTTCATGAGTAACCTTGGTCAGGAACCCCTTTCTTTTTGCATTCAAATGATATAATAAAACCTGCTGGACCAAATAAAGTGCATTATCCTTTTTTAATGTCCGATTCACGTGGTTGAGAAGACTACTTCAAATCATGCTGTCTCCCCGCCTAGAATGGTGGAACACCCTGGGACTTCCGACTCCCAGCTCAAATCCTTATTCTTTGCATAAGGAACCTACATACCTGCTGAATTGCTGGTGAGTTAGAACCAGTCCTTCCAGGCGGATTGGGAACCTCACATCACAACTGCCAACCATATTCTGTATTTTGAAGTCCAGGAACTTGGCAGGAAACCCAAGCTTCTGTACCACACGTGCATACTTCCTCGCTGCAAGTCGTGACTGCTCTTCACTGCAGGGAGCAGGGAGACAGGAGTAAGGAGCCAGGTGTACTGGAGTAAGCTATGTGGACTTCAGGAGGAAACTTTCGTTGGGTACATAAACCAGCATCCCCACCCGCTTTGTGCTGGAGGAGCAAAGGGGATCCAAGTAGCCATTTGGAAGGCTAATATTGGCATCTTAGTTGTTAGAGTTTGGAGGCTATTGCCAAAAAAAAAAGTGTTGGGGAAACACTGATAAAAGCAAGACCCAGCAGTTTTCATGAAAGAGGATTTGGGGCGTAAGCATTAGAGGAATGAACTTCAAGGAAAGTGGGGATCCCTGCTAGGGGCGCAACTCATCTAGAGTGAGACGCTTAGTAAAGAAGTTACTTCCTAGCTATGGCAGAGATGAGTGGAAAGTGGCATTAATGTACTGATTCCTGGAACTTCGCCATTTGTCTACTAAGCTGAGCTGAGCAAATATTATACTGAGCAACAGCTGCCTGTAGTTCAGTTGGTTGCAACTCCCGTTACACAAATAGCTAGATGTGTTCAGGAGCAGTGCCTCATCTCTTAGCATTTCAGGTGTTGACTTTTGTAGGTAGTTTAAAAAGGTGCGTCTCAAAATGTTGCCTGGTGCTCGAGTTAAATGTAGACATAGTTTTCCTTACCTTTTTGCTCCCGTGCAGACCATCTTCCCTGAACTGAATATAAGGGCAGTTGTTCTTGGTTCTCTGATTCTCATGATCACTGCAGCAAACCTCTAGTTTAAAAGTCAAACCATGTTACCTTGCGATGAAGGTATCAGGCTGAGTTCAGCTTTCACATTAGTGACAACTCTAAAAAGGGTTATTTAGAAATTTGCAGTACAGCTCTGACAAACTGCAAGCACAGGTGCTACTCACTCGTGCGTGCTTCATAACATACATTATTCACCTAGCAGTTTCTTATTCTCCATTTAAGTCTCTTTTCTGAAACAAGAACTATTTGTTACAAGCCTGCCAGCTATCACCTTCAATTTTTGTTTAAAATGTCATGAAAAGCTGCCTTTGAGCCTAAATTAGCAGCAGAATATATAAAATGTAGTTCTATAGTAGGGAAAAATAAAGGTATATGAAAGGTTTATTTGAGCTCAAAGGGAACTGTTTGGTGCACTTATTTAGATGTCTAGACATGGATTTAAAAGCCTGATTTCTCCAAGTTCCTAATTTTGGAAGTTTAGGCCAGAGAGCCATATAAAAACAGCTGTGCACTGTAGCAAGCTCAATCCATCATCTCATCAACCCATTTTCTATTCACCCAGTTGGTATTATTGGCCATTCTGCAGACACAGGTTTTTAACATTCCTCAGTGCCATGGTAAAAGGGTGTACAGTATTCTGCCCCTGGACTCAGAGAAGGGAGGGGTCCCATAACCCATGTACTTGTGTTCATAACCCCCTTGGGTTGATGCTCCATGACATAAGCCAGCACCATGACTTAGGACTGTACGCAGAATAGGATCTGGACCTCTAGATGTCCAAACCTTATAGGCTGCTTATGCAAGCTTCCCTGAGACTTACACGTCAAGGCAGAGAGGACAGCAATCCTATTTCACCCTGGGAAGATGCAGAGCTCCCCACTGGACAGATTTGCATGCCTCCAGACCCAACTCCAACTCACCCAGAGGAGAGATATCTGCTCAGACCAGCACATCTAAGTGGCAGTAGCATTTGTTTCAGAGCAGAGCAAGTATGACTCTGCACCTCAGCCAGGTGGGCATTCTTCTGGGAGGGAGGAAGCCATGGATTCAGGGTCCTACTCTTAATGCCACACATGTATTTTTTTTTCCAGTAGCTACCTATTGGTAAATGCATACATGACCTTAGGAGCAGAAGTCATGACTCCCTCACAGGCAAGTGCCCTCCTCACCACCAGGGATTCCGGCTTTCTCCAACTTAAAACATTTCAAATTTTTGGTTTAAAAAAAAGTAATCCCAAATCCACATTTTTCCATAATTAAAGTGAAACACCACTATATATAGACTGATATATTAGTCACGTTTCATTTAAAGCATAGAAAAATGTGGATTTGGAGTTGCTTATTTTTAAACAGAAACGGAATTTTAAAATCAGCGAAAACCAGGATCCCTGCTTATCACTAAACCAGAGTCTGTATCCAGTTTGTTTGCCTTTTTTTTGGCTATGATGTTCACATTCCTTTTTAAGCAGTGGGCCAACTTCAACAGGAAGGATAGACCAGAGTCTCAACCGGGGTGCCACAGGATGCCACACTGTTAGCATTGTGAATCATGGTTCACAATGCTAACAAGAGAAGCCCAGAGATTTCAAATAAGAATCCAGTGTGTTAAAAATATTCTGGTCTGCAGTGGGCTGAGTTCTTTGCAATAAAATAATTGCTGTATTAATTTTCCTATAATGAAGAGTGAAGGGTAAGAGTTTACATCTCCCAAGGAGTGCCTTAAGTCTAAAAAGTTTGAGGACCACAGGGATAGAAGAAAAGAAGAGGGCATAGCTTAGTAGTGAGGGCATTTTGCAGTGACCTGGGAGATGTTGTTCATAGCCTCCGAGACCAAGGTGGGCCTAAAACCCAGGCCTCCAATTTCCTGGGCAGGTGCCATGACCAACAGGCTATTGTGTAAAAGATGGGTGATCTCTTCCAAGCTGCATGTAGGTTCTCTGCATCAGTCACGCACTTTGCTTTTTCTCCAGCTAAATAAATGAAGACTTTCATGGAAGTTTATGCTCTTCCCAAACAGAACTGGGTCACAGCAGAGGTTAGGTGAAAGTTAAATATATAGGTGCATATTCTGGCTCCCTGCCAAATATGTGCAGCAGTACCAATTCAGTGGTTTTCAAGCTTCTTAAACTCAAGGAATCCTTTCATATCATTTCTGCCACAGAACCTCTACCCCCGATTCCACAGGCCTTATGAGCTGTGCAGAGCCAGGTGACCTGGTCTGGCAATGGCACTGCACCACAGATTCACAGAAGTTTAGGGCTTGAAGTGACCTTGTGAGATCATCAGGTCCAGCTCCCCTGCTCTGGGCAGAAAAGACTGCTGGGATCAAATACCTCCCCGCCCTCTCTATTATAGCTGGTCTCTTTGCAGAGCCCCTGATGACATACCTGCAGAACCCCAGGGTTCCCTAGAACAAAGTTTGAAAACCACTGCACTAGTGACCTTTTTAGGATTAAAATGGAAACATGAAGGAATCCAGGTAGAGTTCTTGTGGACACTGCCTAGGGTGGAATAAAATTGTACTCAAATGATTTGGAGGCCTAAGAGCCAGGGAAGCATCATTTAGACTTCTTTGGTGTGTAATAGATTTTGGGTCCATGTCTCCTTTGGTACAAAGAGGACTGAACCACACTCCAGTCTTAGCCAACACAGGAAGAAGCCACAGATAGCAAAGGCTGGTTTTGAACAGACACTTGATACAGTTTCTTGCTGTGGTCTTGGAGTTGCTCAAGACTTTTCCCCCACACCCAGCCAAAGACATTGGAGAAGAGATTCCAGTACATCTTTAAAAGGTTTGTGCAAGGGCTTTCTTCCACATTGACTCATTCCTCCAAAATATGTTAGGCTAAACAAGGCACTCATTCCAGGATCAATCATGGACATAGTAGAAACTTCACAGGGACCTCATTGACCTGGAAGCACCATCTCTAAAGTTTATTATGGAAGGAAACAGATCAGTTTTATTGTTACTGTAGTGATCAAGATGCAATGCTCCATATTCTGAAATTCAATTCACCTGTTTATTTAGCAACAGCTAGAAGACAAAGAAACCTTGCAGAGCACATAGGCTACCAGCTTGTCCTTTCAGGAGACTTGGGCAAGGAAGATAACACACCAAAAATTTTGTCTAGGAGCTTCAGTTTTCCCACCTCCCCACCACTTTCCTTCTACAGAATCTGGTACATCAATCATCTTTTCTTCCTGACCTGAAGTCTTCTACACGTACCCCATATCTTCCCTGCAGTTTTCCACAGTAGAAGCTACGTACCCAAGAACTTGGGCCTTGTTCCCTGTAGCTCTCCCACCCCACCTTGATCCCGAAGTTCCTTGCCCGCTAACCTCTCCCCATCTTTTCTCCTGATCTATTTGCTGGCTTTTCTAATCAGATGATCTGTCTCAGCAGAAAGCATCTGTCTGGTCACTTGGCAGGTTGTGCCCAGTTCTCTGTCCAGAGCAGGCCATCCATCCTACAACTAGACCACTCCAAGTGCTTTGCTGATACCCAGCAAGAGAGGAAAGAAAATAAAGAGGAGACAGACATGGTCGACCTTCAAAGAGATCCCAGTCTGCTAAAGGAAGTTTGAAATCAGGTTTTAATGAACCGAGCAACTGCTTTCAATTAAGAAACGATCGTATAACAAAATTAGAACATAAATGGCATCAAGTATTAAGCCCTACAAACTAGTTCTTTAATGCTTACCTTTGGATTATACTCTGCATTTCTGGCATGCAGAGCTATATTCTTCAAATCTAGCTTACAAGCCAAGTTTACAGTAGACACTATATTCCTGAGGAAACAAGGAAAAAAAAAAAAAAATCACTTCAGAGTTGTGTGTAAGCTAATGCAGAGCAAAACCGTCTATGAAAAATGCTATTAACTACCAACATAGCCTACAGCCATGGCTCATTTAACAAACGTTTTCCTTTCCTAGCCATTTAATTACTACTTGAATACTAAGCTACATATGGTGGAGTTCATGGCAATCAGTAAAGTGGCCTAATGTTAAAAGCTATTAAAGATTAGAAAAGGAAAATTAAAAAAAAAAGGTACTAAACTGCTGCATCTACTGAATATATTCAACTATGTTTTGCCCTTCAGTGATAAAGCAGTCAAGATTCTTTTAAGTATTTAACCCATTTTAAAGATAGTAACTCTATAACACTTCTTTAGCTATAGCATTCTCCAGGTAGAAAGGAAGAGACCGCATTCTCTGCCAAGAGCCTCTCCAGTCAAAGTGAGGTAGGGAAGAACAACAGCCTGGCTTCTGCCGAGGCCACTATTCTCCGTTTCTGTTGGTGAACCCACTCCTTCCCTTCCCAGTCTCAGGGTCATGGAGAGGGGCTGTTTCTGCTCCCTGCAGGCTTTAGAGCATTTTGACATTCCCCAAGAAATCCACAGATGCTATTTTGTGCAGAGACGACTGGCTCTCTCCCCTAGAAAATGTGCTTTCACCTGTGAAAGCCTGAATCACACTTGATCTATTTCTATTTCTGTAATCAGTGGATTTTACCCCTTTACCTATTCTGTACTAAGTTTTTAAAAAATCTCTCACCACCATAATACAAGTGTTACTAGCACTATGATTAATGTGTCACAGGCTGTTTTTTTTTCCTTCCCTTCTCATCCTCTTCCCAGGGGAAGCACATATACTAGCAGTCCATTTCGGTAGGCTTTTAGAGGCTTTGACAGGCTTTTCCATTCAGTGTATTTACATAGGCACAAGCAAACCCACATGTTGCTATATTGGAGAAGTCAAAAATCAAAGAGATATGCCTTGCACTATAAATGCAAGGCAGAAGGCTTGTAGCAATTTTGGTTCCTGGGAAATGTATTCCACAGCATTCATGGCACAGGTCTGTCCTCACATAAAAATTTCACACAGACCTAAGTGTACTTACTGTAACTGAGGAACAATGCCAGAGCTTTCTGAGACAGGGGTCATTGGGGTCATAGGAGTCATGGGTGTCAAGGGGGGATAGACACCAGAAGTGTCAGGCGATGGCTGGGTTACATTGGTGCAGCCCACTTGTGGCAGATTGCTCTCATCCACGACAATGCCACTATCTTGCTCTTCTGCTGGTAACACATTTTTATCTTCCTTTGTTTCATGACCATCCTCAGAAAAAGTTTGTTCTTCATTTTCTTGGTTAATATCATCTGGGAGAAAGCCGAGATCCACAGAAGAAAAATCTGTAGAAAGCTCTTTGGACTGGTTAAGATGAGAACTGAACAACGCATCTTCAACTGAATGAATCGGTAGATCCGTGTCATAAGGGCTCATGGGAGCAAATAGCTGAGGACAAGTTGATGAAAGGTCATCCTTAAAATTTAAGGAGAGAAAAATAATTGTAGCATGTTTAAGACGACAAAATCCCATTTACTTCAATTCAAAGATCGAAGAGAAAACGCATTTCTCAGTTAATGCAGGAAAATTCAATATGACATTTCCCCTCACCACTCCATAGTAGCAAAGAATACTTTCAAGTTAAGATATAGAAGCATGTCAGAAGTATTCCTATAGGCTCACAATTCACTGACCTCTATTCCCGTGACTTTCACCCAGCTCAGTGTATGAAGTCCAGAGAATAGGGTTTTGGAAAATAGGTTTCATCACCACGTTAGCCCTTTTCAGCCACCTCAAAGCAAGGCAGAAAAGGCATTTGTTTCAGTTTTTCCAATAATCCAATGATTTTAAAGAGACCGCAAAACACCTTTCAAAATTGGGGCCATACAGGTCCCTAACACAGCTCCTCCGATTCGAACTTAAGAAAATATTGAAGAGACTTCTCGCTTCCTGAGTTAGATCACCCAGGCCTGATGTTAACCACTGCAGGAGACAGGGAAATGAAGTCTTGCTTCTGTCAGGATCATCTCTTCTGTAAAATACATGAGTTATGTAAATACATAACTGTGCTCCCTGAACGCACAATGGCTAAAGAAGGTTTTTATTAAGTACCATCTTTCTACAGTGCAACAGCTACAGGAACTTGTGGCTTTACGCTGAGGACATGAGCCAAAGGTATAGGAAAGACTCATTGAATGCAGCTAGGTCTTTGTTTAGGGGGCTGAACAAATCCAGGAGTTTGACACAAACTACTGAATGAGCATCCAAACAGTACCATAAACGGTAAGTGAACCTATACAGGACCCTCCACCCCCCTCAGAAGAAACCGACAACAGAGGTCAAGCACAATCCTAATAACGCAAGTTAATTTTTTGCAATATTTGAGCTACTGAATAACAATAGCTCAACTTAGTTTGTGCAATCACATCATATAAAGCGCTCAGCTTCTGGTGCAAATCATTAACTCCTCGGAGATTGCAGAATATGCATACATTGCTAGCCAATGACAGGGTAGTTTAGCTAGAAGTTTGGAATCTGATCACTGTATAATTCTGTAGTAATTTGGTTTCCACTGGACACCAAAATGAGTGTTGGCACCATCTCGGGTGACGCCAGCTTTACTGTGCATATAAAACCTTTTCAGTTTACTGAACTGTGAGAACATGTTAAGTCCAGTAGATGGCAGGGGTGACCTTTTCACTGATCAATGGGAAGTACTCCCATGTTATCCTCCAATTATGCCAAATATGTTGAAAGACTAGCTATCAGCAGTCTCAAGAAGCACCTGACTAGAGAGTTTCAATTAGTGTTGAGCATAAACCAGACCTCAGGCTGAGCAACAGGAGCTGCAGACACCCAGCTCTTTGGAAAGTCAGGCCAAGGTGCATCAAGGCCAGACACACAGAAAAATGAACCTATTTGTCCTCCCATAATGCTGCTCTCACTACAGACTAGCCAAAAGGACAAGACATATTAAGGCCTTTATTAATACATTACAAAAAGTTAAACCCGTTTTTTTGTTTAAAAGAGCGTCCAAAGTGAGACTTCCTTTTTTCCCCCAAGCCACAGAAAATGTTGGCGCTGGGGAGCAAATAGCATTTGGTAAGTCTTGACCAGCTTTGATCGTGATTAGGCACATTACTGTCTAGGAATCTAGCTTCAATTGTTTTCCTCTCAACAGCTGACAACAGAATTCATAACAGGGCTGGCTTTGGTTCACAAACCCTGATGCTTCAAGATGCACCAGCACGTCTAGCTACTAAGTGCCAGGAAGAAGCCTTCTGTAGGGACAGGCTATTAAACACCATGCACCATCCTTTGAAACATCTGGTACCAGTAATGGATCAATGGTCTATCTAGTACAGCTCTAAGTGGCAGAACTTATGTTCAGAATCATATTTAGGCTCCTTAAGAGTCAAAGTAATCAGACTTCAGAATTTCAGTCATTTTGGGCATGTCTGGAAATTTTATTTCTAGCAAGGGAGAGAGAAAAATTATCAGTTTCCCTTTATTAGCTTGGCAGACGGTAGCTAGTCGCAGAAACAGTTAGTTGCATGCTCCTTGGAAGTATCAAAATGCACCTCTTTCCAGAACAAAATACACTGTACCTAAAATCAAAACAATAACTTAGACAAAGTGTATAACATTTTGTCTAGTGTTGAAAATTGTCTAGCTTTACGTATCACACAATCCAGTATAGACATTACAAAAGTCCCTCTTCACTCCAAAACAGAACCTCGAAAGCACCAAGGAATAAATACCAATGGTACGCCCATACACACCATTTTCATGGACTCTGTTAGCATAAAATATTTGAAAGCCATAGGCAGGCATTTACTTATGCCAAACACGCTAAAAAATTATCCTAAGGCCACCTTCATTTGAAATCCACACACTGCTTCAGATTAGTTGTGGGGAGGGGAGAAGTGGCTTTTCCAAGATCTCCTGTGTATAGAGCAGACACTGAAGAAGCCTCAAAAATAGTACAATACTGCCCAAAAAGGAGCATGAGTTAGTGCAATTAAGTCTAGGTAGAAGTCTCCAAAAACCCACAGAACTAGTTCCACTACTTAGCAAGCATTTGTTGCATGACTAATTATTCACTTTTGGAGAAACACCTCTGAAATGACAGCAATTCCTCTTTAGTTGCTTCCCAACACAGGTCGGACACAATATTAGCACCAGAAGCAGTAGTAGCAGGCAGCATCTGTCTGTCTCAGAAGACAACAGAATTATGTCAAGTGAGACACGAGTATAGTCAAGGAGGTAGACAAATCTACACCCAATCCACCCTAGTGGGACAAGGAAGCTCCAGAAACTAAAGATCACAGCATTCTCTGATCTCAGCTTGTCCTCTGGATCTACCCAAATGCTTGCTCACATGTAGTTCATTAATACCCAGCTACTGAGTGGGGAGTGGTGGAAGAAACATGCTAAATATTAGGTACAATACACTTTCCTTTCCTGCAGAGGGCACTGGAAATACTCCAGTACTGTATAAAAGTGCATTGAGCAGAGTAAGAGAGCATCACACAGATAAAGGAGAGAGAGGTAGTGGAGAATGAACAGTTTAAAGGCACAAATGAGAGAGAGAGAGAGAGAGAGAGAGAGAATTTGATGGTGGAAGAGATGGGGTGTGAAGCAAGAGAAAGAGCAAGAGTTTTCAAAAAACAAGTATGAGAAAAAGAACAGAAGTGCCGGAAGAGGGTTTCATAGTTGGTAGGGTCGGAAGGGACCCGAGTAGATCATCAAGTCCAACCCCCTGCCATGGCAGGAAAGAGTACTGGGGTCAAATGACTACAGCAAGGGTTAAAAAATAGGGAGTAACCAGGTAGGGAGGAAGCTTCATGTTCAGATCTCACTCCCTAATACTTCAAGGGAAAAAAAAACAAAAAACAACTTACATGTTATAAAAAGTTGGCTTGGAGGGGGAAAAGGACGACATACTGAAAGGGCATGGGAAAGGGGAAAGGAAGAGAGACCAGACAAACTTTGTACCAAGGTAGCTGCCAAGTGCTTTTCTCTAAGCTAGCAGATGTCATTGATGATGGTGCCTACCATCAACTCCATGGTTCTGGAGAACCGCCTGATCCTGTTCCCTCCCCCAAAGAAACACACATACCCTTTCAGAGATAGAAAGACATATTTTCCATTGGGAGTATAATTGGATAGCCTCCAAGTATGGCATCAATGTAGCAGAGGTGATACGGACCCAAGGTAGGGCTGGTGTCTGGTTGGCCACCCTGCTTTAATGCAAGTGCCATTGTGAGTGTCTCACTTGTACTGAAGAAGCACTCAAGGGTCAAAAAAATAATTAAAGCTCTACTCCATTGCGATAGGCACTGTTCAGACAGAGCTGATCCATGCATCACAAGACTAACAGCATTAGCTACCCTGTTCTCACCCCCCTGCTTCCCCACCCATAACAATTTATAAGTGGTCACTTCTCCCATTCATTAACCTACCGGTTTCAAGGGCATAATAGCCCAGTGCAGATACAGAAATCCAGCCTGTCTGAATCAAAGTGCAAGACAGGACCAGATCCAGACAAACCACAATGAATTTGTAAGAAATAAGAGGTACAAACACCACCACAAAATGCACGACAGGGCCTGGCTGTTGCAGGTCCTAACCAGTTAGGATCTTCTCCCTCTCCGGCTAGCCCCTCACATTATCAGTGGCATTTACCATTCTCCTTTTAGGCCTGAGGTTCAGTCCTCTCTCCAATTACTGCATGGACTATTCAAATAGGACAAGACCAAAAGCATTTGTTAGAGGGGGAACTGGCAGGTCAGAGGGGAAGGAAAGGCGTTAAGGGCTGATGAAGAACAGTGAGAACATGGTGTTCAGTTTTTTTAGTAATGATTGAAAATGTCCCCACTTTTTCCCCCCTGTAACCATGCCCCCCCACCTCCTCTAGGTAATGAACTGGTAGAGAAAAAAAAAGGATTTAGTTCTTGAGAGCAGCTTTCTGAACCCAGATCAGGCTGCATCATGAGAACCAGGGCCAGATTAACACATAGGCAAAGTGGGCACATGCCTAGGGCCCTGAGCTGAAGCAGGGGGTCTGGGTCCTTCCCTCCAAAGCATTAGCACAAATGGCCCCCTCCACTTCCCTTCCCTTCTCCTCCGCCAGCCTCACCACAGTGGTGACTGCTTCCTAGCAGTGGCTCTGAGCCCCGCTCCCCATGGGCAGCAGTGCCAGCAAGGGGGGGGTCTCAGCCTCCTAGGGCCCACTGAAGAGTTAATCCAGCCCTGATAAGAACATAAGAACTGCCAACAACTGGGTCAGACCACAGGTCTGTCTTGCCCAGTCTCCTGTGTCACATGGGCAGAGTGCAGAGGCTGAAAGGAGAGACTTGGCTCTGATCAGGGGTCCCGTCCCCCTTCCACTTGCAGCCTCCAGCATTTCAGACCTAGGAAGCTCCGACTCAGCAGCCACGCCTCGCATCGCCAGGCTCAATAGCTACTGATGCCCCTTTTTTCCAAGCAGATGCTCAAAGCAGGGGCAGCACTGATATTCCTTCCTGCTGCACAGCCTGGAACGGGGTCTTTCTAAACACTTTGGGAGCTTTCCCAAGAGCTTTCTACCCATCTAACCCCACCAGGAAAGTGACACCAGGCCCCACAAGGCCATCAGCCTGCTGTAATCTGCAGCGGGGTTAGAGCCCTGGTATTAAGGACGCCACCTGCCCCTGAGCCCAGTCTCCCACTTGAGCCAGTGGGGCTGGAAGAGCATTAGCTCTTGCAGGGAGATTGCCATCAGGCAGGCTGGACCAGATCTCATGAGCTGTCTTTCTTTGTCCAAGGTGACTGCAGCTCAGGGAGGAGATGAGGACTGACGGCTGCCTGGCCTGCGTGGATTAGCAGCAGCATTGCTGTTGGGGTGTGGGGATAAGCCATGCAAGGAATGTACAGGGGCAGATGGGGATGGGCAGGGGCAGAAACCTGGTACCACTGGGAGCCCCCTGGGTACACTGGGGCCTGGCAGGGACACCAGTACAGGCTGAGGAGAGAGGGGCATGAAGCCAGAGGGGATTCAGGACTCTCAGGGGTCAAGGCCCCAGCCCCTGCCACAGTGCTGGACCCTGCTGTGGCCCCATAGGGGAGAGAGGGGCTGGTAGGGACACTAGTGCAGGCTAAGGACAAAAGGGGCATGAAGACCGGGGGGGGGGGAATTCAGGACCCCCCCAGGGGTTAAGCCCCCCTTACCCCTGCTCCTACACCAAGAGCCTGCTGCAACCCCTCAGGGCTCACCTGGCTTGTGCACTCATCCAGGTAGCTTTCCAGTGAGGCCTCCCCATCCATGAGCCCTGGAGCTGGGTCTACTCAGGGGCAAAAGACTTCACGTCCTGCTGAGCAGCCAAGCAAACCAGGCAGTACTGGAGCATGCCAGGGACTGCAGACAGGGAGCAGTGCTGAGCACCCACCCCCACCTGGGACTCATCATGTTAAGAAGCCCTCACCCCACCAAGCTGCAGCTGCTGTGAGGGAGGGAGGGAGCAGAGAGTTTAAACTTTTCTCCTTTAACCAGGAACCTGGGCTGCTCCCAGCAGCATCAAAGCCTCCTGCCCCACTATGGGCATCATCACCTCTACCCTGTGGATGGCACTGTGGGGACTAGACTTGCTTCTAGGCCCTGCTTCCTCTTCCTCTCTGCTCCCAGCAATCCCTTCTTGGCTGCCTAGGAGTATCCCAGCAGCTGGAGAAATACATCAGGAGTGAGCTGCAAGAAGTGCAGCTGCCTCCTCAGGGATTTAGGCAATAGGGAGCCCAAGGCGGGGAAGATGTTGATTCACAAACCTTCCCAGCTAAATAAACAGTGAGGAAAAGGGCTAGCAGGCTGAGTCCCTTGCTAAGCTGGACTTGTAAATCCTTGGTTGGGCATCAGAGACAGCATCCTTCTCAGCTGGCCCAAATTTGGGTCTGATCTTTGCCTTTCAGCTCTCATTAAAAGAGCAGGTGTCAACAGAAAGCCATTTTGAATCCAATGCACTTGGGGCATCCAGGCCACTATCCTCTCCTAAGGGTTTCTTCATTTACTAATTTTTTTTGTAGCCAATATTGTAAAGTTAAAATTGTAACTCTAAAAGGAAGGCAGAGTTTTCTTAGCTGGTGCTGAAAGGGGGCTGAAAACAAGTACTTTTTACACAGAGCAAAGCATCTACAAGTAGCTATGACCTCTTGCAAGGTAATAAGCTGCTCAAAGATATAAAACTTATCTACAGGCCAGCTAGGAAATCTTTTGTGCAGGTGGGGCTAAGGCAAACAAGTACAATTAACCTGGCGTACCTAATTGGTCATAATTAACCATCCCTCCCAGGCTCAGGAAGTTAATTAAACAGAACAATTTATTCTAATATAGTGCTGATGAATGGCTTTGCAGGTTTGCTCCTCAGTGCTCAGTGAAAGTGTCAAGTGCAGCATGTTTTGCAGGCTTGTGAAGTCTGTGTCTGTTAGATAGCTGGTTACAAGCAGCCCTCATTTTGAGGACAGCAGTGACTTGTGCTACAGAGCAATCTCGTGTTCTCAAAGAAAGACTTTAGTCTTCACTGTTGTTGAACACAAAGGCACTCCATAAATATTTTGGGCTTTATTTCGGCCTTAGGGGGACTTAAATTGGATCTCAGAATAATGTTCATAATGCACATGGGCTCACTGAGCATCTGAGAGAAGACCTGAGACTTAATGGACAGTTAATGTGGTTTCAAGAGCTAAATTGGAACTGGGATCTGCAGACAGTTCGATAGGTTGCAGTTTTTTCTATTCAGCTTGTCTCATGTCTGAGGTCAGTTTAATGTCAGTGGATGCAAGGAGTCCCTGATTCCATCAGGTTCCTTTGCTGGATTTAAAAGTCATTAAAATGCTATCAAAAAGGTCACTGATGGCAGGGCTGGATTAAGGCAGACATGGGTCCTATATATTCCTCAGATGGCTGAGTTTTTGGTGGGTGGTGACCTGTGTCTTCCATGCAGGAACTATCTGCTGGATGTCTTGCCATGCTGCTTCAGGCAGGCTAGATCCTTCCCAACCTCTGAACCACATTCCCTGTCTTTGGACAGGCTGGGGCTCTTGAAGAGTTGATCCTCCTTCATCCATCTAAGCAGGAAACTGCTACGATGTACCTATCTCTCCCAGTCCTTTACTGGAGTGTTGCCTGACTGGCAAAGCAGTTAATTTCAGAGTTACCCTTCCATTATCACGTTTGGGGCAGTTCACTTTGGCTGTATAAATGCTGTTATTTCAGGGTATTTACAGATGCAAGCAGATGTTGCTATATTGGTTATATGAAGTCAGATGTTCAAGGTTGTTGATACGACCATGAGATTTGAAACCTTTCTTTTATGAGAGCTTGGATAATTCCATTATAATCTCGCTGGAAGAACTGAAACCCGAGTTGTGTCTATTCAGTAATATGGTTTGAGTACACACACACACACACACGCATATATATATATATATATATATAAAAACTGTCATTACTCACTCAGTTGTATGTTGGTCATATTAAGTAACAACAATCCAAACTAAGGACCTCACCAATTATTTTGGTTACTTAAAAAAAAATTTTTTTTCCCCCTGGTTCGGTAGAAAGGAACACTTCACGCTTCTGCTTATCAAGGCTATCTAGGCTTCTTTAGTTAAACTACAGAGATTGAAAACTGAAAGAAACATGACAGTTTTCAACCTAAATGAAATGGCTTTGATACTAAAAAAAGTAGACTTGAATAATGAAAGCCGCTGTAAGAGGATATTACAATGCCCTTTTTCATGAATTCTAGCCACCGATTAGAACAGCTGTTTGCCAGTTCTTCCCCAACAGCAGCGCACTCTGATGCTGAATTATATGTATTTACTGGTTTTCTAACATTATGTCCTGATAATTAAAAGATTTATACACCTACTTAACTTGTATGCATAATCCTAATAAAAAATGATTAGAGATTATGTGAGGAAAAGTTAGAAGAACTGAAATTATTTCACCTGAAGAACAGAAGACCCACAATGGTCTTCAAAAGCGGAAAAAGAGCTGTTATAAACGGGATGCTGATCAGTTTGTCTCTATGAAGGGAAGAATGCAAAGTAATAACCTTCCAGTCCTTTTCTGTGGTTTTATGGTACAGCTGTGCACTTGAGTAAAGGTAAGCACTTCCTTACTGCCTTGATCTTGTAAAGTCTTATGTACGTGCTTACCTTTAAATTGATTTTAGTAGCACCACGTGTGCATTAAGTCAATCATGTATATTTGCTGCATCAGGCCGTGAGTGTTCACAGGGCTTTAGCTTCACTTTGCACACGGGATGACTGCTTCTGAATTAATTTTCTCCTCTGACAGAAAAAACTCTCAGCATGGAAGATAAGGCGAGCAATCTTTTAAATCCAGCCTTTTTTTTTTTTTTTAAAGCAAACAAGTGTAACCTCCTCTAAATCCTCCCCAAACAATTAAACAAAGTGGGGCACATTTGGCCCCAAGAGAATTGACTCTACCCATTTAATTTCAAGGGCTTAAGCTGTAGACTCCGCATCCCAAACTGATTGTTCCCCAAATACTCGGGGACACTGCACAGAAACTGTTCATAACTCAGCTGGCACAATTAACAATGTGTGCCTAGGCATGTGGGAAACCACTCTGTAATTGCTGCTGCTCTTGACACACAGTAGTTTCACATCCATTGTCTTTATGCTGTTTTTCCATGCAAATAGTGATTGTAGAATAGATCTCTTGGCTATATACCTAGTCTCCTTTAAAAGACAGTCCCATGGCTGAGAGTACAAATGGCTCAACAGGTGTGAGCGAGATCAATGCAAAAAAAACTCTGCCATGCTCCTCAGTTGGATTTCCTTGTTGTATCTATTAGAACTAATTGATGCTCAGAGAGCCTGACACTGCCGACACTGCTCCACCGGGGTGCTTCTTGACTTGAAGCCAATTTTAGTGCTGTTAACTTGTTCCTCCTCTCCTTGTTCTGTCACTGCATGTTGATTAATAGATTTCTGTGAAGGCTTAGGTGGGGAAATAAGTGATGCTTCATCTGCAGCGCACAAGTTTCTCTCTGGATGACATGATTAATAACCCTGACATCTTGCGGGAGAGGTCTTTGCCTTCTGGTTTGAGATTTGGTTGCTGTGGTGAGCACACACACGTAGTTTTGCTGACGGCTGGCTGCACTGGAGAAACCCTTTGGAAGAACACTTTAAAGTTACTGCCTGAAACTAGCCTTCTAGCAGCAAAACAAGGGATAGGAGCACCGTCACTACCCCCAGGCAGCTGCTCTGGATAACATAAAAGGTTCTGCCATGCCACTGCTTTTGTCTCACATATGCATCTGTCATTCTGTAGGCAAGGGCCCTTTTCACAAAAAAGCCCCAGATCACTATTCTGGCCTGGTCATATTTTGCATCCACTTTGACTCAGTTTGCACGTGTCCCATAGATTTTTTTTTGGATGTTACCACTGCTGTGGCAGGGAGCTCACTGATGCCACTGAAGCAATAAGCCCCCCCCATTTCCGTTCTATTGCATCAACCCACGCATCATGTTCAAGATTTGCCAAAATAGCTCAAAAGCAACAGTTTAGGGCACCCTAGGGGCATCCTCAGCCTGCAGGTGAGCTCCCTGCTACCCTGGTGTAGACATGCCCTTTAAGGCCCAGATGAAGTAGTGAGACGACCTGGTCCGACCTTCAGAACAGCAGATACAGAGAATTCCTCCCAGTGATTCCTACATCTAGCCCAAGAGCTTATGGCTAAATTTAGAGCAGTGGAGGGCTGCACCAAATGTCACCACCAAGTGACAGAGAGCTGGGGGGAAAGGAAGCTTACAGAGGTTGCCTCCCAAAAACGGAGGCCTGCAGAGCACTGGAACAACTCCCTAACGGTTGAAGCTGAAATGTAATAATTTGTAGAGCAGATGTGGATTAGCAAAATAAACTGAGATTATTGCTTTATCTGTCTAATGAAATAGCATGGTGAGATGACTTCAGCACAAGCACCAGTCCCTGGAAGTGGAGGGAAGAGAAGATAAATGTCTTTGCAGATCACCCTCTCTCACTGCTGTCATTCGGGGAAAAAACTGGAGGATCCCATTGCTTCTAAGAAGGACAATAATATTTTCCTTTAGAGATGATTTCACTATACTGGGGAAATTCATGCTGAAGCTACACCAGTGTAATTAGTCCCTCATATTCACACACGGGTTATGTTAAAACTAGCAACACAGCATCTTCTCATCGTTATTATCTACAGAGCCCCGCTGAGATCTGAAAAGCTGTGCTGATGTTCAGCAGCTCCGAGTCTGAACTGCTCCGTCCATCTTAGAAATGAAGACACTGTGGTGGAGAACTGAAGTGAGTTGCCAAAAATAACAGGAGGAGACAGTGCTAGCGTAGAGACGAGAATCCTGGAATCCCTGGTCCTCAAACAGGTCACTGTCACCTGGGCGATGGCATCCCATGCCGCT